AAAAATTGCATATATAAATAAATATATATAAATATAAATATATATTTATATATATATATATATATATATATATATATATATATTTATTTATGTATACATAAAGAGATATGAGTACTTGAGTCTACTGTCGACCGAGCTGTTACTGGGAGGACGAAGAAAAGCCACGATGAAAAATGTTTCGCGGACCGCGGGGACCGGGCTCTGACCATTTCCCCCTATTGGGTTTGTTGGCGTGCAACGTATACACGTGAGATAATGGCGCCACTGGCGCGCAAAAAGAAAGTCGATCGTTATTTTAATTTATGTAAAACGATAACGTGTATACACCGTCGCTTTCTTAGGGAATTAGTAGACTGCTACCAGTATCAATAATTACCGCATTATTATTTTAATTATTATGAAATCTCCAATAAATTATAATGCCCTAACTGTGCGTCGATTATTGCTCCCTCTATTTCCCTTGGATGAGTGCACTACAAAAATTTTCCGGTCTCTTTAGTGTGATACTGTGCATACCCCGCGTTAAGTATATTATTCGTTCCATGGAACGATGTTTTTGTAGTTAATAGTAATTTCCTAATAACATTTTACCGGCTGAAATTCTCAACTGCAATTGCAGCGCCATACCCGCCGATTGGGCGGTATTAAGAACGCTCCAGCCAATCAAAACCAACTCGTGGAATTCGTCAAAATAAAACAACATGGCCGTTATTCCGCACAACGGGTAGGGATGAGTTCGTGAAATTTGTACCGTGCCTGAAAGTTACCATTGATTTTCAGTGTTGACATGATCATTGTATTGTTTCATGTGCTTTATCTGCTTGGCAAGTGCATATATCAAAATTACAGAGTCAAGAAACAAGAAGCTAGGGACGATAGCATCGACGATAATATGGGCGATAATATCGGCGATAACTTCGACGATATCATCGATGATAACATCGACGATAACATCGATGATAACTTCGACGATAATTTCGACGATAACACAGACGATAATACATGTAGCGTATGCAGCTTAGACAGAAAAGTAAAATTCGAATATCCGCGACATTATATGAGATTCAGTCCGCCGGCATATGTGCAGAGATATGATGCGGCTTATCATGTATTAGCCGACTTCAAGTACAAGGCAAAATTACGCAAGGTATTTTCAAGATTTGCTTTCGTTCTTCCTTGTCAATGGGGTTGTTCAGTAGATCATGGTTTTTTATGTAGAACATACAAATCATTAGTAAATTGTTTTACAGTACTGTGTTACTGTCCGAGTCAACGACTTTTCAACCGTAATGACTATATAACGTGTTTTCGTTCCATTTGTTTACAGATTGCTGATTTTGGCTCCCATGAACTTGGTTTTCTGCGGTTAATAAAATATATATATTTCGTGGAAGAAATTTTACTTGTAGATATTGATAGAGATGTATTGGAAAATTATAAGGATAGAGCTTCACCCTTAATTTCAGAATATATAGAGACTAGGGATGTTCCATTGACAATTGAATTAATCGAGGGCAATGTGATTCATAATGACGAAAAACTACAAAATACTGATGCTGTAACTTGCTTAGAATTGTGAGTTGTTATTTAATTTGAAGTATCACTAGTAACTTTAGTCTCTTGTGTAACTAAGCAAGAATTGTTTTAATCCTTTAGGATCGAACATTTGGATGAGGACACTCTGAATGCATTTCCTACTAATATTTTTGGGTACATTAAGCCGAGAGTAGTAGTGATAACAACCCCAAATGCAGACTTCAATGTATTATTTCCAAATTTCTCTGGATTCAGACATTGGAGTCACAAATTTGAATGGACTAGGCAACAGTTTCAAGAATGGTAAATAAAGTTTAGCTTTATTATTGACTTTATATTTTTAATACTATTGAATGTATAATTCTTGTGAACAGGGGAAAGAATATTACTATGCAATATCCAGCCTATAATGTAACCTTTCGAGATATTTGCTATGGGCCAGAGGGCACGGAACATTTAGGGGGTGTCTCACAGATGGCAGTATTTGATTGCGTGGACCTTGATTACCGAAATACTCGTACTCCAGGCGTACCAGGTTTATTTAAACCTATAGTTCTGTACGAATATCCAAGGACCATAGACAATCGTTCGGACGAAGCAAAGATTCTCGATGCGGCAACGTATTACATTCGACATTTATCCTTTAGAAATAAAGATATGGAATCTGAAGTGCCACTGCACGCACTAATACGCAGTATGGTTTCATTTGATGTATCGGAAGAAACATTGCAAACAGTTTTAGGAGATGCCGGTTGGACGGTTGAACCACGTGATTATGGGTTGGTTGTATTGGTACCGCGGGAAAACATTTTTGATCTGAATCTAGGACGGACAGAGACAGGATCACGCTGGTATTCTGAATCACCTCATGTGACTCAAGGCGACGAAGACGACTGGGAACTTAATTTTGCGCCACCTGAAGATTCGGTTAGATATTTGGAAGAAGAAGAAGATTGGGGAAATCCAAACTGGGACCAAGAACCAAGCATCGTGATCCCACAAAATAATTCTCTTCTCGAGAACAATACATATCTTTTCGATGGAGAAAACGAAGTATCAGATGGTGTCTTTAAAAGAAAAGGTTCTACGTCTTCAGAGAAGTACGATGAGACTGGTACGAAAGAAAACTTAAATCCATGTCTCCCTCTTCTTAGTAACATTGACTGTATTAGCACAGATCATTTGAATGATTCGTTCGATCAAAACGTTCCGGTAGATTTCAACGATTCGTTCGATCAAAACGATCAGACAGATTTCAACGATTCGTTCGATCAAAACGATCAGACAGATTTCAACGATTCGTTCGATCAAAACGTTCCGGCAGATTTCAACAAATCCGTGGTATTGTCGGACTCTTCTAACTTCGTACGTTCTTCAGGCGCGCGAGTTGGTTCTGTAGTGGAAACCGCTGAACTGCTCAATCACATGTTAGATTTTCCAGTGAACTTGTCCACATCCCGCGCATCCACTTCACCTGACCCGTACCTCCTCCGAACTGTGGAAATGGATCAGCAATTCAAACACAATAGTGTATGTAACGATAGCATAAGCGATTATTCGACATTGAATAATACGTTTGACCAAAGAAACTTATGTAAGGGCAATGAGTCACCGTCGAATAATGGCACGGACGATTGCAATGACTTGCATAGCACATATTTAAATACGTTGCACAAAGAAAGCGAACGTTCCGAAGTGAGTAGTTCCGAAATTGTTAGTAGTACAAACACGAATACAATTCAAAACGATGATGCCTCGAAGCGGGGTCAGTCATACTTGAACACCAGTACATCTCTCGTCAGTAGTTCGGCAATCAATAATCAACCGCAGTTCACTAGTTCACCGAAACAGGACACGAAAGTAAACACTACGTGTAGAAATCGAAAATCCATGAATCTTTGCGAGCAACCAAGCAGTAGCCATTTGTCTAGCACAATAAAGCAACTTCAGTTAATAGGACTCGAAAGCAATAATCAATCCGTAAACAATGTTAAGACGTTATTAATCGACGACAACAAGATCGAGCAAAGCAGTTCGTTGATATCTACACTTAATGACAATAGCCAGCTGACGAAGGGATCACATGTAACAGTTCCTTTGATTAGTGATACAAGCGTGAATGACGCGCAAATGTTAACTTGTGATAAGAGATCTCAATTAACCGACTTGAAATTAATTACGCCAGAAACTAGCGTCAGATTCGCTGACAAGGAAGACGGAAGAAACGTTGAGTCTCGGGGAAATATAAATAATACCGAAATTTCTCGTCATCATGCCAAAGATATTACAGGTTTAAATAATTTATCCTTGGTATCGAATAAAGATGCAAGGAGTGTTCAATCTGTATCAGTATTAAAAAACGAGAAACATGATGAATGCACCGTGGAATACAGCAAAGACATGAACACAGTTGCCGCGGAAGTTGTAAATAGCACAGGAGCTAAACCTTCTTCACCGGAAATCACGGAAACGCCGCCAAACAGTTCGTCCCCGGAAGTGATGGATTCTGGCTACCCGAACTCTGCTTCTGCCCCAGACATGTCTCCAGAATTTGAACTGTCCAGTATAGCGCAAGATCGTATATCTGATTCTGAACCACCCAGCATAGCAGAAGCACCCAAATTAGCAGTTCACGAGGTGGTAGAAGTTGAAAATGGCGATTTGGCGAACAACAATAGAGACGGAGAGGGTAACAACATGATGGCCGCTCAGTTGAATGAACTGAATGACCTGCAACCCTTGATCGACGTACTCGAAAATGATCTGGAAAATGAAAATGATATTTATGTGCTGGAGAACGATTTCCCTATGTGGTTGCTCAGAATATTGGACATGGCCAACCCCATTGATGTTGAAATGCGGATAAGAGATCGTAGAGAACTGAGATTCCCGGATAGAGCAGGTAATGGTTGCTTTTAGTGTACTCAATTGTGTACTTTATCCACTAATTAGTAGCGGTTAATAGTTCTCGGTTAGTACAATGTAATCATATTTTTTGGAATAATTATTTAAAAACATTAATCGTTAAATTTGAGCTCACCGCATTATCTGATCCATGTATCGTTTTTCTGTTAAATCCAAAGGTAGGGATAACAGGTACGTGAACATAGAGCACGACGAAGGTTTCAATAGTAGTTCTGAGGATAGCAGTGATTTGGAGAATCACGAGATGGCCGAGGAGGATAACAGTGATGAAAACGAAAATGCGGCAATTGATAACGAGAACGTGTCGCGCAGTGGCAGTGGAAAGTAATAGACGGAAAGCCGGTAATACATGATACTATTGATATAATTTTTACTTAAAACGATTCCGCATATACCCTTCGATACGTTTCACGAGTCTGCAGATGGAAGTGGCGAAGGTAATTATTTTTTTGAACAGTATTTATCATGTTTCGTTTTATACGTTGATTTATACTCCAAGGTCCAAGGGGCCTTTTTCTATTTTTAAAATAAGTTATTTCAGAGAAGCCGCACGGGAAAATATCTTCGAACAATATTGCGAATAATTTTAAGCGTTTTTGTTGAGAAACCATGTTCCTTTTTTTTAAGTTATACAACAGAAACGAAGTTGTTTCCTTTTTACTGTTATTTGTTCGGTTTTCTCGTTGCGGTTGTCTTTGCAACTGTTCTGTTGCGTTAGTCTCTTTAGTGAGCGTAGAGCTATAAGATATGTATTTATATAATTAATAAGGTCTGCTTGTTACCATGAACAATTAAGGCGTCTAATTTGAGAAAAATGTATGCATATATTTTCGTACGATTTTCAAGATCTCCACGTCATCTCTTTTAAATTTACAGTATCATAAGATTTGTAGCGCGCTATTTGATCTATGTTACGGTTTGCGGAAGTTTTATTTATATGTTGCATTTTGTTCCCCCCGCTCTTTCTTACATACGTGATTATAACCAAAGTGATAAATTGTGGACAAGGTCCGCACCGTACGTTTGAGATCTATCTAAGACTGAAACTCTGCATATCTTTTCGTTTTCATGATACTACATAATTTGAACAAATAAAACAAAATGAATGGAATAAACGTATCTCCTAAAAGGTCTCTGTACTCACTGCCCTGAATATCATTTCCGCCCCACAGGTATTTCACTGAACATCGAGAGATAGACAGATACGGTTTGTTTGTTTATTTCAATAATAGTGGAATGACATTACAAGGTGTACAGTGATACATAGGTAGTAATTCTAAATCATTTACATATGATCTGTTAGTAGCTTAACCATATAGATATTGTTCATTTTTTTTAATCATTTTTCCTTTTAGTATTTACAGTATTATTCTTTGTCTTGTATAAGATGCAGGACTATTGTTCAGCTACTGTATGAGTCGCTACAGTGATCATAAACTTTGTTCTCGACTTCGTATATATTTTATATTTTAAAGTGTGTTTCCTTTTTTTTCGTTTCTCCAACGAGAATCGAAAGGAAAATCGGTAAACGGAAGAGGAAGTAGAATAATGGTCGCCACAATAATGGCACGATTACGTTGAAACCGTGTGGTGGTGAACCTATCGTGTCGTGGTGCTCGATGAGAGCGATCCGAGAACGAATCGACGCGCGGTTCTACCAAACAAAAAATGGCACTAATCACTACTCGATGATCTAACGAATGTGCTTTCTCGAGCGTTCCGCCCATTGCTCGCTCATCGTGTCGCAGAAGCGTGTACTTGGCTGGATGTCCGACTGAGTATCTCGATCTCAATTAGTGCCTTAACGTATTAATTTATGGCCTTGCGTCTACATCGTGTGGACTCTATTAGAAAACAGACCGTCGCGAACGTGAAAGAAAAATGGAAAAAACCAACGGGAAGATACGCGCGTCCGAGTATTCGTGATATATCGCGAGCTCGCGTTATAAAACCTCTCTGGACGTAGAAAACAATAACGACGCATCACTCGTTTACGTTACATTACATTACAATTACAGTACGTTTACGTTACGTTATGTCACATTGTTGTTAATTGTACGTATAAAAGGAAAACGAAATATAACACTATGAAATCATACCATTTCTCTCAGTAGCTTGAACGGTATACTCATGACAATTCAAAGTCAGCCAGCGGCTTGAAATCAGATACCGATTCGCATTAAATGGAAAAACAAAACGGAAGAACCTAGTAACAACGTTTTACTTTGGAATGTCGTCGTGTCATGGACCGATGTAAAAACGTAACCCGCGAACGCGAAGGCATCTCGCAATCCTCTCCCATTCGACGTGGAGTATCTCTGATTTCTGCGGCCAGTGGCGTTCGTTAATCGCCCGCCGGTGATACTGTGTGTCACGCGTACAGTGTAGAATTCTATAACGCTTCTATAGTTCTCGTCTTAGACTAGTTTCATACAAAACGCGGTGTGTGTACTTATCGCTAACGTCTATGTGGCGTAACTTCCGTTCTCCTCGCCGTGGCCTCGCGTCGCCCACCTCTATCGATCAAACGATCGCCGAACAGTAACGCACCCCTAAAATTACACGTGAAACGTCCCGCCGAATCGCGGGGAACGGATTTCGAACGATAACGACCGACGTAAAAAATTCACGTAAAAATGAGTATACTCGGAATAGAGAGATAAAGAACGACAAAATAATGAAGGAAGAGTCAACAAACTTGAACAAGAAATATCTCAAAATCGAATATCAATGTGTTGCCGGGATAAAGCTGTCCTCGCTAGAAGCACGTGTGAGGAACCCGAGACGAAAAGTACAACCGAGCGTGTTCTCACCGGACCAAGCGGAATACTACGTTGTGTGAATCGTGGACGTACATTGCGTATTCGAGTTTCGCAATTCGAAACAGCTTTCTTGCCCTCGCCTACGAAACGAGTCTCCTCTGTCCCTTATCACCCCCGCGTTGCCTATTCCGTCCGATTACGCTGTCATTGCGCGTCAGTATTTTCATTATTTCGAGACAACGCGCGCATTTTCTTGCACCGTATCGCATCACACAACCTCTTTATCGCGAGCGTTGCGGTAATGGGAACGTAACAGGTTAAAGACGTCGCCGCTCGGCGCGCTGTCCTGTCTCAGATCCTTCATCAAGGAAGGAGCCATCGCTTCCCTCTTGTTCGTCGCCTCTTTTATACTCGACAGAGTTTTGCTGAGCCACGGCCAGCTGTTCCTGGCTGCTTGCAACTCGGACGCAGTCGCGTGTAACTGATGCGTCAAATCCTGTAACGTGGACAACAATTAGCTTCATGTTCATAGCAGAATCGCGTTGGACAAGTGGCAAGTTCGTTCACCTGATTCCTGCATTCGGCTTCGACGTGAGCCAACTTGGTCTGAGCCAACTCCACCTCCAATTCTCGCACCCTCTCTCTTGCTCTGTCCAATGTGGGATCTATTCTGTTCTCCAACGGGTGAGAAATGTCTGCCAGCACGTTAGACGACTCTACTATGCCACTTCTGCACTTTTCGCATTTTGAGGCCATGGACTACAACATATAAAAGCATATGGACATCTGAATCGCGTTGATTCATGGTAACGTTTCAGCTACCGTGAAGCTAGCTGTAAAAATGTGACGACGTGTCACTTAGTGGAAAGTCAATGTAATTGCTTCCGGTAACTAAAGGATTCAAGGTCTATATAAGTCCATTCCTTACCCGTAGCACACTGAGGGTAGATTTCGCGGCATTATAGTTGTCCTCCAGACGTTGACAGATCTGTAAAAAGCACAGTGTTCAAACAGCTTCCTATTGTTGTCCAATTGATTTTTCATGTACCTGCTTGTATTCAGCAATGATAACGTTACTCTGTCTGTTCTCTGCGTCCGCCCTTGCCACTTCCCGTTGCAACATCTCTTTCACTTGAACCAACTCCGCTTCCAGCCGCTGCTTCTCCTCTTCGTTCCTGGCCACCGTGCCTCTCAGTTGTTCCACCTCATTACTGTACTCATCTGCGTTCTCCTGGGCTTCTGTACCGCAAAAAATATCTTGTTAGGGTTGCGCACGTCATATACGTGGAAATATTTCGAAACCACGTGTTTATTTTTCACACGAGAAACACGGTGCCATGCTATAGTCGAATTTCATTCCGACGCCGCAATTGTTAGTATGATCTTACTTGTTATTAACGTCTTTACAATGTGGCTCATCATTCCGCAAACGAAACGGTAAAAACGCTTATGGCCCCGACGTTACTGGCGGACATGCGATATCTTGCGAGAGCAGATACCGATGTCCCGCCACGCATTCCCACCGCGTTGAACGTATCATGACCAATTTTAAACTGCTGGCACAGCTGTTACATAGATGCGTGTATACTACCTGCTATAGTTAACAAACGCGCAGATAATGGCCGTTGATAAACAAAATGTAGACACCGCCAAGTTACGATTGGAAAGGCTTATCGTGAACGATTCACTTCTCGATGACGCATTTTCATAAACGCTTAAGATTACAGAACGCCCGATGTTCCCAGTTCACAATTACATGAACGTGTTAATCGGTTAGTTTAGTTAGTCAAATGAAGAACAAGCCGAAAGCGTTTGTACAACTTTGTACGACTACGTGAATGCATGCGTCTCCAAACCAAAAGCGGGAGAAAAAAAAATATCGAAACGAAGAATGCATAGTCGGGAGAGGGGTTGAACACAGGTAAATTGACAAAAAACTAATAGACGGTAATTCTAAACGGACGATTTATTTCCAACAAAAGAAATAATAAATATCTTTCTGTATGTATATTTTATATACATACATATAAAAAAAAAGAGTACTCACAAAACAGTGTTCAATAGCAGCGTAACACAGCCGATTAAGCGTGAAAGAAATTTTGGTTTTTGCTTTCTCTAGTGACGAGCAACGGAAAAAAAGTCCATCTTAGAATGTACAAACGATTACAAAAATAAATATAAATTTCGGCAAAGAAATCTGCTTGTGAACAAAGTTGTACACTAATTGCAACGTTTAGCGAGCGATGCTTTTCTTCTTCTTGAAAAGAAAAAAAAAATGTAATCTCTGATTCAATGCTCGTTGAGCGTTTACGAAACAACGCCAGCACAAGTAAAGCGTAACAGAACCGATCAACGAACAAAAATTATGCCCTATCCTGCACGGTAAATAGGCTTAACATTGCAACAGCTATGAGATTTCAACCAGTCATCGTAATCTCCTGTGATCGTAATGCTTTCTGGTTGATATCGTGACAAATTAACGAGACATAAAGTGAACTACAATAACGAAGGTACTAGCGTGCATTGTGTTACGATTCGACAACCGGTTGAAATCTCATGCTCGTGCACAATATTATCACTGAACTGACTCATCTATCAGTGTATTTATACAAGTTGCGGTACCGCAGTGTCTAACGCCGGGTTCAACAGCATCGAGATCGTGTGAGATCCTACGCGCAGAAGCAAAAACAAATTCGTTCTGTAGCGCAACAAACATTACGTACGAAAAAAATGAACTTTCATTCAGCGACGTTTTAATAATCACCTAATACTTTTTCTCTTTTTTTTTGGTAGGTGTCTCGTTAACGACTATATACGCCATTTATTCTTTTCGAATAGAAATCGCGTTTCGCTACGTAATTCTTAAGGTTCATGTAACATTAAGAATTTCCTAGCGAGCAACCACCACCTGTACTGTACAATAGAAAATAAAATAATATTTTGCAATGGTTCGTCAGACTAGAAAGATGACGCAGTTTATGCGTACGAGTTACATAAACAGAAAACTTATCAAATGCGTCACTACCATCAATGTGATGTACCTCGTTTAAATCTTTAATAAACGATCGATGTTTTCCTTAAAGAAAGAAATCGTCGAGACTAGGTTCGAGGGTGTACGTTACTTGGCCTATTCTACTCTTAGCGAATGCAGAAGTCCGCGTGAATAAAAATAAAACTGTTTAAGCAATTTTTTTGCGCAACTCCGAAATTCGCAAAATTGAAACAACAAATCGGTGTTTCGAAGCTAGCTGAGAATTGCCGGGGTGGGGCTGGATCGTGTAAGCTTCAGTGTATTCGAAATAAATTTACAACCACCTGACGTTGTTCTTCAGCTCTTATACAAACTGCACATGCATATAAGACAATACCGGCCTCCGTGATATCAAAGAATTTAACGGGTGTACAGTGGCATTAGTGTGGGTCTGTGTGGTTCAAACATAAAATATGAAGTTACCTTTCAGAGCCATAAATTCTGCCTCGTACTTCTTCAGTTTCTTTAATGTAACCGAGCAGGCTAACTTCATTACGTAGCGCGACACTTCTTCGTTTCGACAACGCTTTGGCAAATGTACCCGAAAGTACTTCAGTATACTCTCGAAATCCAACTGAAGCAGTTCCTTTTTGCATAACTACGGAAAAAGAACAGCCGTTTTCCCATGACGTGTTCCATTCAGATAGCAATGTATTAGGATAGCATGTTTGACATCTTACCATTAATAACGCAAGAGCAACTTGAAACAGTGTGTCAAGTCCTTGCAAAAGAAACACATCCAGAATGTGGAAAACAAGATATAGTGGAAACCTAGCTGTAAATAAAGTCAGAAACCATTGTGCAGCGAACATATGTGTCTCTACGCCACGATCGCAAAAGTGTTTATAGAGTTCTGGTAACTGATCCTAAAACAGCAATATTAATTTATGAATAGTCTCTATTTCAGCCATGTACTTTCAAGCAAGTTCACGACCTACCTCTATCAATCTATTAAGCTGATAAAATCTCATGTGAAGATTGTCAAATCTGTCTTTATATAAATCTCTTAGACCGTAGTCGTACATTAATTTAACCAGAACGCAAAATGCTTGTTCCTCCGGCATCTACAAGAAATATCTAATGTTTTTCTTTGTCATTAAATTCCTTAATAAATCTCTAACAGTTGTCTCGAATACAATCCTTATGAACTTTATGATTTGAATGATGATTACTTACATGGAGCAGCAAACTAGCAACTAGAAAACTAAGTCCCTGACAATATCCAACTTCCTCATCGTACACTGCATACGCTTTGCTTATTCTGTACAAAGAATCTTGTCCCAAACCGCCAGTTTCTTTGAAAAAGTCATGGGCAGGAAACGTTCTATTAATGTCTCGTAAAATGACGCTCTCGCAACTGCTCTCCTGTAAATATATCATATCATAGTTACCTTAAAAAATCCATTTACTTTCTTTTAAGTAGTCATGACTTACCTTAGTGATTAAAGTTCTGTACCTATCCATCATCTCTTGTGAATTATCGCAGTTGCTTAAGCGTTGCCACACTTCTCCGCGAAGAGCTTCAGGAATACCTTGCTTTGTAAGTTTTATCAGAAGCTTTGGACGTTGTTCATTAACTAACCAACTGTCCAAAACTTCTGCCCAATTTGCCAACTCATCCGCAGAACAATCTTTGGATACTTCGCCAGTACCACTTAACATGGGTTCATCGCCATCTATTCGTGGGTTTGAATATGAGTATATGATTAGTGTATTCACATTTTCATCAATATTTAATTATTTCTTTATCAACCTGAATCTATTTCTTCCTTCGGTGTAAGTGTGTCAATACTAGTTAAAGAGGGTGAACGAATCAGTGATGCTAAGTTGAGGGCAAGATTCAATCTGTTTCTGTCTAATTCTCCTGAGGTTTCTATACTTTGTACTTCATAGTGAACTTCCGCTCCATCTCCTGATATTACCTGGAAAGTAATCATTAATACTCGTAGAGTTGACAACACTTACAGCTATAAAAGAAAAATCTTTTTCCTTTTAGTTAATGTCTTACTTCTTTTGAATTCAGGTAAAATTGTTGTACGAGATTTCGTTTATTAAAATACCAGAATCTTTCGTTCTGTGGAAATATTTTCACTAATGTCTCTATTATAAACCTAACAGGTTCCCGAATACCACGTATTACTAAGTCAACAGCAACTGTTATATAGATCCTTCCTTCTCTAGGTGTTTCTACATTTAGCGTTTCCAATGCGGGGTCTGCCGGGTCCCAATGTCCGCATATGTTATAACATTGTTTATCTTGTATTACTGGACCGTCATTAACTTCCTAATGACGATAATTTTCATTTCTTTAATACAAACAACAATCCATCACTAATATATAAATAAGTTGATTTTTACATTACCATTTCAAGTAATCTCATATCGCTGTGTTTAACGTTACGACCAGGACTAAGAAGAACTCCAAAGCACCTTTCAACTTCAAGAGTAATTCCACCTTCTTTACTGGATACTTGCTGAATACTTAAACACACCTGTTTAGTGACATTACTTCGAAGTTTAAAACAATTTCGATCCTTAGGAACTGTACTGAAGCTTCCCTTCCCATCCTCTTCCTTTACTTCCATGGTTACTTCAAAAATAAATACTCGTGAGTTAACTTTTTCACTTCCATTATTAAAACCATTAAAATCACTTCCAGTTAAAGAACTGGTCATGGATCGTGGTATTCTGTGAAACGCTTTAGAAAAGCAAGCAGAAACTTGTCCCACCTACAACAGAATAAAACCTTTTCATATTAATTGATAGCGACATCGTTTTATACAAAGTGTGATAAACATACCGCTTCTGGTATATCACATCGAAAAACATGACACTGATAGATGGCAGACTCCAATGTATCCCCATGAGACCAAGTGAAAGCAAAACATGCTGCGCATGGTCCACTACTTTCACCACGTGCATAAAACAAGATACGTTGCACTTCATAGTGTGCAATTGGCTGTTGCGTAGCAGCATCATACAAACTGTATCATAGAAAGCGGCAACATGTAATGTAGTATGGACAATGATATTTTGATATAAGTTTGTTTAGTTATACATACACAACAGAACCTTGAGAACTACTAGGCACAGAAACTGATACTTTGATTCCTAAATTAAGAGTCTGTTCTGCGTTTAATACATTCATGTTGTGCTGAATTTCACATTCCAACTTTGGTGCATTTATTGCAGTTGATCCCAAGTATGTTACACCATTGAAAATAGTGCACTCTTGTTGCATTGGAGCTAAAGAATTTATTTCTATAATACAGATAGTAACTTATGTCTTATATTTATTAGGCGTTATTAAAGAAAGTATCAATGATTTATACCTCCATCAACATAATCTTCTGGTTTCATAATGTCTTGTTTTTCCGATGCAACCACACAAGAGCTTACATCATAAAATTTACTGCGTCCCACTGATTTCGGCTTTGGCTGATTTTGTTGTACACTGCTTACAATTTTATAGTCATTACTTTTCATTTTGGAGTCCTCTATTAGTACCTATGGTTGTTATCAAGTGCTCAAACATGTATTGATAAATACTTAGAGATAAAGATAAGTTTTCTCTATACACAAATATAAGCTTTATATGCAAACCTCGCGCAAATTATTTTGAAGATCTTCTAGGTTACCGTTGTTGGCAATTTTTAACATTGGTTCAAATAAAGTTTGTTGTTCTTTCCCATTGCCTTTATCATTTACAAATTCATATTCGTCGCTTGTCGCTACAGATTCCATTGATTTAACACTGATACTATCCTCCATAACTATGTCTACAATATGGCGAAGAAAATTCTTACATTAAAATCACAAGTAGCAACGGTAGGAACAACATTATTTAGTCTGATAATTATTTTGCGAATATACATCTACATATAAAAATCTATATATATATATACACATATATGCATATATATACATATCTATATATATATATATATATATATGATATAAAAAAGAAAAGATTATAATAGAAAGTAAACAATAAAAGCACCAAATATGTACTGTGTAATCAATCTTCCACATCAGTACACAATGAAAGTAATAATAGAATCAATTACACTCTGCTTATCGATACAAAAAATGCATAATATTTGTGTTCTATTTGTGGAGTATCATTGAATCAGAAGAAGAATGTGCCTCCCATGAGCGATTATACTCTACAAGCTATCACTTAGATATAATTTAATTGTTTATTCTTAGTAATCTGAGAATACCATTTGAGTAACGAATTCGATGAAAAGCTACGACGAACGATTACGAATTTCGTGGGGATTCCCTGACTGGTAGAACGTCAACTTTACAATTTATCAACATGACCTTATTCGTGTTCCAGAAGAATAATGCACTAGCTGCCTGTCGAGAAGCAAAATAAGTTTCGCGCGTGTCAAAATCCCGTACAACATCATTGAGAAGCACACTAACTCGAATTTATAATGTCGAATCGCCAGTTGAACGTTTCGGTTAATCATCTGACACGTATTTTTGTGCAAAATAAGAATCGTGTCCCCGTCTAGTTGTGTTTGTAATACGTTCTTATTTACTCGGTTTTAATCGTACCCCCAGCAAAGAACAGGGATTACCCTCTCGCTGAATTGAAAATTTACGGGGACACCGGTGCCTCTTCTCGCGATATCGTTCATTAAAACCGCGGACACACCCCGATTCCTCGATCTTCTCATCGATCTGTCCACGTTCGCACGGATTTTGATCAAATCACTACTAAATGTTTACATGATTTCACTCGTCATTGAAACGATGCCGTTTGACAGAAAAGAAAACCTTGGCGTCGGCCATTTGAGCACTAAGGTCCCGGAAGTCTGGTTCGCTATGACGAATTGCGGACCGCTGGCCTCGAAGCGCGCAACAATTTCGAATTCATTTTAACGATTCACACCTTTTCACGAGTCTCTGTTACTTCTTCACTTGCAAACTGAATTGTTCACATCTTTTCTCATGAATGCGGCAATTATTGGTACTACAAACTATATCCTTGGCGATATGAAAACTCAATCACGCAAGATCAATGCTTTCATGAACAATGCTCGCATGCCAGTGCAACGTTGAATGATGCTGACCATATTTAGTAAGTAACATTGACGTTAACATCAATCTGTTACCATCCGTTAAATGTTATCTACTTTACTAAGTAATTACAGTTCTTCCCCCAAACGCTTGTATCACAGACGAAGTATACCTCGTCTGTGTTTGTATGTTTTCTTAATACATTTTGAATCTGGCGAAACAATATGGAGTCTGCCAAATGTTGACGATTCTAGAGGATTCGTTTGTATTCGCTATTAACTACAGAATAGCTGCATAATGAAATGTCAACTGTTTAATAATTCTAAATACAGTGGGCATGGTCGATAAAGAAGCTATTAAATCAGGAAATCGTCAACATCTGCAGCTCAGTTCCATTAACATCACAAACGTTGTTCCGCTGTCTACTCCGAGAAGGATAATCACGATTGATCGCGTAATTGATTTACATTTGTTTTTTTTATATTTTTTCTCCTAAAATAATTGCCACGATTAGATAAAATGACGATCGTGTTAACAGACAAACGGAAATCATTCGACGGAAATTCATGTAGTTGTCCCGAGAATGACCAATCAGGGAACGCGATCAACGTTATATCGTCTCGACCCGTGGACCAATGGAACCGTCTTTTCGGGAAAACCTGTAAGAAGTTACCGACAGGTGGCGCAGCAGCGTTGCACACTGAGCTGGAATCGAGACGCGTCAGTTAACAGACGACCTCCGTTCCGTCGAATGTGAGGAAGCTTTTCTTTTTGTCTGTGAAAATTTCGGTGTTCTCGGTATTCGGAGGCTGGTCGTTGGTTCGCGTATCTCGAGGGGCAAGCTTGTGTAATCATGAAAAGTGTGAGACTGTGCGAGATCGGCTAGTATCAACGGCAAATAAAGAACGAGTCGGAGACGAGAGTAAGTACGAGCATTCAGACAGAGCACTCACGGCTTTTTTACCTATGCTTCCTTTTCGGAGGCGGGCGTCGCGTATCGTCATTAATAATCTCGCGATCGCGAACGCGATTCCGTCGGCACCGAGGCACCCGTCTTCCGTTCCCGTTCTCATGAAATTTGACAGATTTGAGGGTGGGGGGAGGCAGAACTTGTGCACACCGTCGCGAAACGTCAACGGGAAAACGAAAGAGGAGAGGTTATAAAATCAAGACGGAACAGTGTCCTGCACCTGCCATCGTGAGACGATAGCTTTTGCATTATCTATGGAGCATCGTAACGCTGCCCCTCTCTCGAAAACGGTTCTATGTCGCTTTCGGTGCGTCGCGTCCTCGGGGCACCTCAGAATCCGTGCCATCGTTTCAAAAGATCTTGCAACTTTAACCTGTTAACCGAGTAACTTTTCAATGAAGACATCGTCGAAACAAACGTGAATACAATGCAGCTCGTACTATCGTCGATTTCAAGTTGTAGTTCAGTGTAGCATAAATCGGGGGTAAATAAGGGAAAAAAACGAGAAAGTGGAAAATAACGTTGAATACAAATAAATTAACCTTAGGGTGAGGATAGGGGAAGATACTTTCTGGTCCCACCGATTAAGAAGTGACAAGACGTTATTTCATATAGAATATTTTTTTTAAATTATAGTCGTGCACGTCTTTGACAAAAATTTTTTTTTTAGTTCAATGAAAATAGTATTGCTAACAGAAAATGTCGAAAATAAATGATTATGTACGGTAATTCTACTTAACCCAGAGTTAGCCCATCTTCCTTGGTTAATAGGTTAACGACGCGTTAGCTTCGAGAATTTCTCTGTGTCTCGGAAGAATGGAAAAAACGAATTGAATTCGTCCACTGGCGAACGAACACACGACGCGATTATTTTGTTGCATTTCGTTTGTAATAATAAAGTAATTTATCTCTCGTGGGGTGGGAGTTGCCGAGAGTGTGCCCGCGGGGTGTGTTATCGACGACATCGCGACTCATATCCGCGGATCTGTTATTGGGGAACGGACTTGAACCGATGAAAACGATATATCACGTTACTTTATCTTTAGAAAAGCTCAATGTCAGCTTCAAAATGTCATCGTGATTATTCACGCGTCATTTCTAGCCGAGCCGTTGCGTGCCTCCTCGGACTAGGCTCAGAATAAATAACCGGGATGCTTTTCGAACGTTGCGAGCTGTCGGTTCGTTTCTTTTTTCGCGGTTTTTTGACGCGTACTCGTCGAGAAGATAGTTGTGTCAGACAATCGGGGGGTTGCCAACGTTCTTTGCGTCATGAAGCATAGAACGTTGTAGATGTTCTGGTACTTATCTTGTTAACTGGCTGACTGAAAAATAAATGAGAAATTCGTATCCATGAAATAAAATGTAGGAATCATTATTTGCGCAAATAAAAGAACGCGGAGGAAGTTTCATTAAAAGAGATTTTGAATATATAAATGAGAAATTGTTAATTTTTATTCGATATAGTTACGATTTACTAAATAATGAATATTACATTTTCATGATTTTACTTTTTTCATCGATTTTTATTTCATTAAAAGTAAAAGGGTAACCAACGTAAGAAGGTTCGCTTTCTTTGTTTATTTTGAGGTTAGAGTCGTTCCTTGTTCCATCGTTCCGCGTCATGTGGTTCACCCCATAGATTCGGAACGTAGTGCGAACACGTGACAACAGTTCGTTTGACTTTTTAATCGGGAATGATGATTTAATTTGTCATCGGAAAATACTTTTAATGCGCTTAATAATGAACTTTCAAAATTATCAATAGTTTTTTGGTGCCATCATGTTGGTACTGCATCTTCAGATGTTCATCTCTTCCCATTTCTTCAAATCAATAAAATTCGTAGTACGCCGTTCGTGACTATAGTGATGTCGAAACAACTCGCATTTGCCGCGTGTACAACGAACATTAACTAGTTTCAGTAATTATAACCCATTTATAGCCGGTCTTTTCAAATGGTAACAATTAGAAATCTTCGTGCAGGTGACGTAATGTTTCGAAATTTACCGCCCAAAATGTGTGAGTGTGAAAAAGGTACTAATTACATATTTGTTACACGCGCATGTTTAACAACTACCACAGTTCCGCCATAAAATTTACTAGTTTTTATTTGAAATTGTATAAATCTGTGTTGCGACTTTCAAAGTTCCCTGTACCTGATAGAAGACAAAACATTTTATTGAATTTTTAAAATTATTCGTATAATGTTAAACTCGTCCTATCTTTAAATCAAAATTTAACAAAATTTCAATGATTTATTATCTAGGTTCTTCAGATTATGTAGATTCTTCTATATTACAGTAAAATGGATCGTCGCTTTAGGAAAATCTCGTTCGTATATGGACAAAAGCGCGAGCAACTGTGTCGTTTACTGAATAGAACCATAGTACGCAAAACTGTGCTCAATAAGGTTGCGAGACCCGTTCTGAGATAGCTGATTTACGAAATCGAAGTTTCTTTCGTCGCCTTCGGCCCGTTGCATTGGTGTCCCGTGAACGATTAAGAAATCGATTCGTTCGTAATTCGTACCCCTGTCTCTTGAGTATCATTGCGAAATATCGGTTCGATGAAATATCTACGAACTCTCGTCGGATTTGTCTCGATCAGTCGAAATCGAAATTTTGTAGAAAGTTCTGCGGTTGGAAAGCGAAACACCACAAACTTATAGTCTGCTACCTGATAACTTCTCTTCAACTTCCTCCTACTTAAAGGAATACCCCTGGGACTTTGAAAAGAAAATTTCATTTTATGTGTCATTTAGGTAGATAGAAAGTAAACAACATGTATAGAACAACAACGAGAATATTTTTGCAAGACACATGTAAAGAATAATATCAAAATATCATAAAAGTCATCAGATACTTAAATATAACTTAATTTTCTATTTGAAAAATTTGGTGTTACGTGACCACTAGGTTTCCATATGATAAGTAAAATTGTGCACACGTATACTAGCCAATATACTTGAACGGTTTGAGTATCTGCCGCGATTAAACGCAATCTCGGCAATAAAGGTACGCGAATGTTACGGCCGACAATCGTCATCAGACATCATAATCAGTGTAGACACCGCTAAAACGATGTCTACGAAGAAACCGGGACGGACAAAGACGCCGGACGCAGATGACAGAGTTCCGTTATCATACTGGGATAATCCAGAGCGAACTTTTAATTGTTCGATCGTTATCTGCGTGACTCATCGATAAGGGACCATTTTTGTACCGCTGATCGAACCGATTGGTATCTTTGTCGTACCCAGGAAACTGACGCGCGAACCGTAACACCAATTCGCGGAGAAGATAACTGCGAGCGGAAGGAAGAAGCAGAATAGAATACTTACTTTTCGAACAGTCTTCGCTACCGTAAATCATTATCTTATCGAGTGAAATGTAAAATCCCCCTCTTCCGCCGTAGCGACAGCTATAAATATTCTATCATCAACTGCAGACTACGTGTTGAGACGTATTCTTTTTTTTTATCCTATTATTGTGTCAGGTATAAGAGCTTTGTTTCACCAGCGATTGACCGGTAAATATAACGGGGTGAGTCGGGCGTTCAAAAATTCCAACCAAAATCCAAGAATCAATTTGGTGTAGTGTTACATAATGCTCTGGGATTTAAAGAATGAACTGGAATAGACTAAAAAGTAGTGGAAGTATAGTAGAACAAAAGGATTGAATAAGTTTCAACTCGCTTTAAAAAAAATCTCTTTCAAAATTGATCGAAAAGAAGGGAAGATTAGCTGAGGTTTTGAAAGGATTCGCGCATGATTGGCTGTGCAAACTCGTCGGAAGCGTTGCGAGGGGTTAAAGGCGATGCGTTCGAACCCGTCGCCGGGGCACCAGCCCGCGAACCCCCTTTGCTTCCCTCGTCACCCTCGGCGGCGTTTATAGTAGGCGACACACGGTGCTATTTTGTGTCAATGATCGGACGATTCATGAAAGAGTGGCTGGTCGAGGGCTGTTAATAATTTGTTCGTCGAGTGGAAACGGTTCTAGAGGCACCGGTGGCCGCGTCGATGCCTACGGTCACCTACTTTGCAGCTCGAAACATGACCCCAGGAAGAGCTTCGTTCGTTCGCCCGCATTTCCACCCGCAATTGGCCTTTTCGAGAGCGAACGGCTCGCGTCGTTTCGCGCGTTTTATCGTCGTCAGCATCGTTGGCGCGCGTAGCCGACGTTGCTTTTCCGCTCGACCGAAATTCATCGAGAATTAACCCCTTGTCTTATGATTTCTTCTAATGCTTCCGTCGTTGGAGCCGTTCTAGACATTAATCATTTATTAGACACAAAAGAAAATTCTCAGAATATCGTAGATCTGCATTTATTCCAAAGATAAACGGTTGACAAGGGAAAAAAAAGTACAATTTGAACTCGAAAGAGTGGAACGACATTTAATCCTTCTCACTCGGAAGTTATTCGTTAAAAATATCCAAAATTTTCGGATGAGATATTTATTTATTTTATTTCAATATTTCACGTATAGATGCATTACACAAAGTTTAATATTACATAGAAAACTTGATACTTTTGCTATATCGAATCGAGCGGTTGAAATTCACCTCTCAAGCGCAGAGTTCAAGTTCCTGTACAAAATCTTCGTCGTCGATTGGAGATTATAATACAAGGGGTTGATTCTATTCTCCGAACACGCGTGCTTCCGCTGCAATTTCAGCGTCGATAAGAAACCCAGCACGATAAACGTTCTCCAATCGTCCATCTGACCAAATAAGATCCCGGGCAGAGACCGTTGATCCGGAACACGATCAGGTTACGCTTCAAACGCGCGCTATCGAAGTGTTATTCAACCCCCGGCAGTCGGGTATAACGTTGGGCGGGGTTAAGATAATGTTCCCAAAAGGTCAGCGTTTATCGAAAAGCCTCAACAATGTGCACGGATAAAAACTCCCCCTGCCGAGGAGCTACCGGGTTGTAAACGAGCGGAGCACGGTAGCTATCTATCTAGCCGCGGATCAGCGCGTTCGTCGCCATTACACACGCCGCGATCGTTAAACACGTAAACACGGGTTCTCGCGTAATGAGTCCGAGTGTCCGCCAGTTTTTGTTATTGAACCGCCGGTTTAATTTGCAGTCTCGTCGGCGAGGATGGCGTGCAACGGTAATCGCCGTATCTGAGCGCCCGGACAAAGTGAAAGAGAGCGAGAGAACGGAAGACGAGGGATCGCGGAAGCACACGTACCCAGGGGAACGATGCTGTCGGCGAGGCATGTCGGGATGTCGAACGAGATCTGTTCAGCGGACGGCAAGCGTTCGAGTTCGTAGCTGGGGACCGGTCACCTGGTAGGACAACACCGCCTTCCCTCGCAACCAACAAGTTAGACCGAGGAGGAGGGAGTACGGGAAGACGAAAGAAGACCGTGATTCCGGAAACTACCTACTAGCAGAGTAGAAACAGGAAGATAAGAAATATTTTGGTAACTCTTAGCGGACGATTTAGCGGGTGCATCGGTGGGGGATCGTTTGGTTCAGCGCACGAGATCGGTCGATTGATCCGTCGCGGTTCCGGAGACAACCAGTGATCAGCCGGATCGAGGTCCTCGAGCCGCGCGATCGCAACGTAGTGGTGAAACGCCGGTCAAAGTGAAGTGCCCAGGTCTCGGTGAGATGGCCTTCATGATGAAAAAGAAGAAGTACAAATTCTCCGTGGAGGTGGACCTGGAGGAGCTGACCGCGGTGCCGTTCGTGAACGCGGTGCTGTTCGCGAAGCTTCGGCTGCTCGACGGTGGTTCATTTGTCGATCATTCGACCAGGTGAGTCAAAGTCTCCTAAGTTTCTCTCTTCGCGGTGCTAAAGAACTGTTCTCTCGTCGCGTTCGTGAAATTTAATAAGCTTCCAGCCGGCATTCGAGACAAGAAATGAGAGGGCATTGCCTTGCGATCATCACGATCACGTTCTTCCAGCAGATTGAGAAGTTTTACGACGATAATCTCGCAGTTGTTTGTTGATTTATTTGCACCGTAGCCTGCTGAAGATTCGCGCGTACGCGACGCGGAACGAAACTTCTTCTACTGGAAAATAGGAACGTCGAGAAAGTGTACTCGCGGCGCGCGGTGAATTTTTTTTTAATTCGCGGCTAATGGAGATCGCGTGCCTAAGCTTCGTCCACGGCTCGTTAGAGTTACGCTTATTTAAGCCGGCGGCTTGCTTATCCCGTCCGCTTTGATTCCTACGACACACTCGATTTCGTGAGAACGAAAGTTTCTTCTGGCCGAGAAACTTCGTTGCGTTTCTTTCGCGGATTCTCGTTAGGGTGTTCGCGTCGTGATTTTTGCGTTTTATCGCTTGCACGAGGCCGAAGAATCTTTTTCAGTGGCACTTCTCTCGATTCGTTCCCCTTTTCTTCGGGTTTACGAGTGCAGCCGTCTATAGTTTCACGAGCGAATAAAACAAGCTGTTATGATTGCCAGCGAACACTCCCATTCGATCCATTTACTGTTAGACGCGCCCTGTTTCGCGTCTGGGGCTGAATTAAACATCGAACCCGCGTGTTTGGAGCGAAGAACTTCGTCGTACCGTTCGTCGGGTCGTTCAGCTAGCGTTCAAGCGCTGCTGAGAAGCTCGTTTAAACTTGGACTTCGCAATACGCACGGGTTACCGTGTCTTTTTACAATAACCGTCACAGTATAACGTGGTCCCTTGGAATTTTTTAACGTAGAATTGCTTCATTTATTCATTCCAAACGTTGCACTTTTGTTCCGAATCTTTGGAGACTGCAATTAAACCTTTTTATGGAGAAATAGCGATCGCACCCGGTATTACGGAGATTAAAAACTTATCGACATACTAAATCGATAAACGTTTCACCAATAAATGGACATAGTTTCCTCTGATAAACTGTAACTTTATGAATATACTTTAAATTTATTCTTAAGGCATCAGAGTATAGAAATATTGAAGCAAAATCCAATTCTTTTAAGTCTACATTTGATGAAATTTGTTTTACTTTCTGAATATTCCCAAATACTAATTCCAAAACTCTAAATAACCTCTGTGGACTTACAACTTCATCAAATTTGTCTACTTTCCATTTGAATTTCAAACTGCAATCACTTCGTCGAATGACTGGCTCACAGTGTCTTAATCATTAGCACCAATAAATCTTGAAGAATTTCGGTTTGTTCGATCAGATTCTTTCATTAATTACATTGTCGACCACCAGTGACCCACGCTGCATTATTGTTATCCGTGACCCGAGGCTCAATCAAGTCGCACGGTCGCTTTGCACCCTTGAGCGCGGCGTTCGTCGCTCGTTCGTTCGCCGGTGAACGGAGACACGTCGCTTCAAAGCGATTTAATTGACGCCGGCACTCGACGAACAGTTTCGTCTTCGCGACGAGAAGATCGATAAACCTTTCGTCGGTCGTCGGAGGAGGTAACGCGGCGCGTTTACGCATTCCGCTCGCGCGCGCGCGCCAGCTGCGAATGCACCGGGATGCATTTGCCCCCGCCCACGGCTGGCCGAAGAGCAGCATCGCGTGGCCCGGATGATGTTCTCTAATATTCTCGGAAGTCCCTCGTCCTCGAGCAAACGTTACAAAAGCTGCCTATCGAGGAAATCCTCTTCGCCGGTAATAGATTTCTCGGAGGAAAGTTGTTTCTGGCTCGAGCTTCGTCCACGGAATTTCCGGCTGCATTCCGCGTCTTCGCAGCTGTTTCACGCGACATTTTCCTCGTCGAATACGGTTATTTCTTTTGTGAGAAATGTCGCTTGAAACGTATCGGTGTTTCCCGATGAATCAGGGATTCGGGGATTTAATTCTTTACTGTAGCGAAGGAAACTTGTATTGATGTTTCGTTCAGTTGAATAAGAATGAACCCCTTGTCTTATGATTTCTTTCAGAACTGTGTTTGATAGAACCACTATGTCATTAATAATTTAGTAGAAACGGAAAAGAGTTTGATGCTAATTCTGTGTATACGTTTACTCTAAGGTCTGAAAATCGATAATAGACAAATAATATTTTATTTATATGAAAAATAAGTAAATAACATTTAGATTTACCGAATTCGGTTGAAAATTTTCTTCGCAAGTCTAACTCGATATTATAAGAGAAGGGGTTAATGTTGCTTGTTGTAAACTAATTGGATTAAGCGACTGTTTTGCTGTTAGTGTTTTTGTCTTGGTAAAATGGTAGATTGAAATAGTAAAATAACAAAGTAGCAAAACAGCACAGTAATGAAATAGTAAAGTAGCAAGGCAGTGAAATAAGGATATAGTAAAGTGGGAAAGTAGCAAACTAGTAAAATAGCTCTAACGATCATAGTCACGAAGAAAATCATACCGCAACGGGTCAAAGATGAATCGAAAGTGAAAGTCCGTGCAATTTCGAGGCCCGATCTAATTTCTTGTTGGCAATCGACGGAACGAAGATCGAGAGGAATTCCATTTGATGTTGGAACAAGAGTTTCCTGGGCATTCGAGGTGTGAGATGATCGATAGAAGCGTTCGATGGAATCAAGGCGTGCGCGAGAGCATCGACTGCCTTCGAAGAGGCCGTACCTGCAGCTAACTCGTCGGCGTCCGGTCAGGTGTTGCGAGGCAACAGTTGGCTAATCGTTGGATCGTTCGATGACGTTTCTTTCCGTGAGCAATAAAGAGAACAATAGTTTACGCGGGACGTTTTACGCCTGCCGTTGAAGATAAGCGAGCCGAACAATCCAATGCAACGTTGGACAAACAATAAACTCTAGTGTCCTCTAAACTGAAACAATCTGGGATTTCAGATTCATAGATTTCCAACGCTTTTTCGCAATTCAGTTCTTCGAGAGGACTTTACAATCTTGGAGACGCAAACAAGAAAATTATCTTCTCCTTCCGTAACCGATGAAGTTACGAAGAACATCGCTTTAGCCTTTTTAGAGTTCATTTCTTAGACCTTCCAACAAACCATCTTAATGACTTGCTTCTTTTTTAGGTCTTACAAGAGAGGTTATCGAACCCGAAGATTCAAAAAATTATGAAACTTTATGTGTAAATAGAGCAAGTCAAACATATTGCAATTTTTTCGTGTCAAATTCATTTTGAAGGGGCGAAGCCACACCTTGAAAAAACTAATTTCGTCTTCCTCACGAATTATCTTGTTTCCTTATCTCTTACCATTCGTTATCTCAACCTTTCGTTTTCAAGATAATCCATGAGGAAGACAAATTTTCATCTATGTGAAGGGGTGGTTTCACCCCTTCAAAGTGAAATTCGCCATAAAAACAATTGCAATGCGTTAGACTTGACTGACTTTACTTACACACAAAGATTCATAATTTTTTGAAATTTTAGGTTCGATCACCTTCCTTTCTTAGTCCACTGATACAAAAATCTGAATTTCATTACGTCTTATCACCTATCCATGATGCTACATTTGAAAATTCTTCATCAGCCATTATCCTTAGCTGCGGTTAACGCATGGATAGTTCAAACGAACTCCAAGACGGTCGGATAAGAGTTGAATTCCGCGATCATCTGCATTTTATCTCTTCATCGATGCGATATTCTCCGATTGCTTGACGGTTGATAGCAGGAGCGCGATACTTCTGTACGTCCGTGTCGCCGGGTACTTCCATTGAACCGCATTACGCGCTGCACACGAGGCTTCCCTCGCCGAGCGGAATATAACGCGGCTGCATGTGTGGCGAACTGCACGCGACATAAATTCCAGCCGCGGCCCGCGATAAAACCGTTTCGATCGGCGACGTGTCTCGGTTTAAAGGAGATAGCCTCCTTACTTCCGCGGAACTAACCCCGAGGCGCGCGTGATGCATATTTGAAGCACGACCGGTTCGAAAACCTCCCTTCTCTCCAGTCGAGAAGAAGACAGCTTCCTCGAACCACCGAAATTGAGGACGGGTTAGTCGGGGCATTGAAATCTCGAAATTCAGGAATTTATTGAGCTTCCAGACGTCGACACGTCGCATTTCTTCCGTGACAGAACTCTCGAAATTCGGTTAAGAAAGATATAAAATTAATTAATAAATCGAAAGTCAAAATAAAATATATAAATCTATGGATAATAAAGAATCAGTGTTAGCGTTATTAAACAGGAATCTGAATTTGATATCTTGATATAGGTGTTGTGTTGTTCTTTGTATTTTGGTCACAGAAGATTTGTGCAATGATATTGATTTCCCACCTCTGTCGAATGCTTTTCTTGCAAATCACACGATTTCAGCTTGTCTGTGAAAAACCACGCCAGACTGTATCATCCAAAAATTAGCACAGTCTATAACGACCTTGTTGGAATTTTGCTTGTTTGTTATCGTTGCTGTGTTTAGTAGATATTGTTATATATATTGCCTATAATATGTAATTACTGGATGCAAGTATAAGTGCATACGAGTTAGTAATGATTTTACGTAAGGCTGGAAAGCAACTGTGGTTATTGACAAACTGATAAATGCTATTAAACTAGGGTCACTTGTAAAACTAGAATGAATCTGAACTGGAATACATAAGGCACATAGTGTAAAGAAATACAAGTAACATTTATATGCCAAATGGCATATCGCGATGTACATTAACTCTTCATTACTAGTGAGCTCTTGAAATCTTTTACTCCGTACTAGAACAAGTAAAGACATTTATTCACGTTTCAACTGTTTTTATTTGCAATTAGACTAGATTTTCATACATTCATAAAAACTTCGAAAGTACACAGTTGCACGGAATGTGACATGAAAAAATGAATTAACTATCCAAACTCTAATATCTTTTATAATATTCCGTAACGCTAGAACTATCAAGCGATTAATATAATTA